CAGTTTCTGAAGGTTTATCACTATAATAGGCTCTATTTTTTATTATTTTTTTAATATCTCTTAGTGTCTGATTTCTTGGAATATCAACAGGAAGAAGATGATTGAAATAATTATTATTAGTTTCTTGAAGGATGTTAAACCCTTTCTTTTATTGTTTAACTTTCTATTAATTATAATTAAAAATATATAAGGCAATACAGATATTTATAAAATAAATATATTAATTTTAAAAAAAAAGGCTTACAAATTCTATTCTTCTGTTTTCTTGCATTCTCACACAATTTTGACTATCCAACTCAGAGTTCTGTTGTTGTGATATTTTTCTCTTTGATGCCTGTTTCTTTCCTTTATTATTTTCAAAACATGGTAGTCTTCTACCCAATATCTTTCTACATCTCGTTTTTAGTATTTTAAACACATCATGAAAAAACATATCATTAAAATCAACCCAACGATAAATAGGTTAGGTTGATTAGATGGTTCTAACCCACTTACCAAAATAATAATGTTATTTTATAATAATAAATTCAAACAAATAGTTAATATAAAATAACAATATCTATATAGATAAAATTAATTGCTGATATTTATTTAGCAAATTAAAAAAGTACATACTCTTAATAATTTTTTTTGCCTAAAGAAAGTTTCTAGCACCTTTTTGTAACTCTATACTTGTAACGACCATTTCTTCTATTGTTGTAATTGTTGCTGCTATTGTAATTGTTGCTGCTGTTGTTGTTGTTGCTGTTGTTGCTATCACTATTTTTGCTATTATTATTGCTATCAGATTTAAAGAATTGGCCTTTTTTTTATAAAATGATTAATTTTGTTATCCAGATTCTTTATTTTATTTTTTAAATCTTTTATTTTATTATTTATAAGCAAAAAAGAAAAAAAATTATCAAGTAAAAAAAAAATAATCTAATGAAAAAAAAAGCCTCTGTAGATAATAAACTGATATGTATATAGAATTATACCTAATATACATCAGCAATTTTTCTCGTATATTAGTTTGTGTAATACTGCATACATCATTTCAGCTTATCTAATAATATTGCGAGAAATTTGACATTTAGAAATTAAAAATTCAAGAAATAACTTGTTTTGTCATGTCATGTTTAGATATTAATCAAAGATCGGAGTCGTATAAAATCAATATATATGATATAATAAATAGAAAGTTAATAAATAAATAAAATAAATAAATAAAAAATAAAATAATTTTACCTTGTAGCAGATCATCTCGTTGATATTATTTATGATATAGAATCAGAATTTATCGATTAAGCCTTCATTAAAACACACATAAATACTGATATTATAAAGTCAGAATATGCTTTTGAATCCTTTAACAATCACATATATAATAGTACTATAGATGTTATAGAATCGGAACAAGTTTTTAGTTCCTTTAAAAATCACATCTATTATAATGCTATAGATACTTTGGATACTTTTAAAAATTCTGATGAAGTTTTTATAGATAATAGTATTATTAAATCACAATATACCTTGGGAACTTATATAGATAACAGTATTGTAAAAGTAGGACATCCTTTTGCAACCTTTTCTGAAGCACATGTAACAATCAAGAGATATGCTGTACAAACAAATACAGTAATAATTTTGGGTAAAACAATCTGAAATTCAGATAATAATGAATATAGACAAGCACTTTTCATCTTTAAAAAACAAGGAAATATAATAGATATAATGAAGTACATACAACAAAATGTACTGGATACTGCTTTGTAATCACTATCAACTATTACAAATGTTCTTAACAATTTGTTATAACAAAATAAGTTTTAGAATATAATCATGAACTCTGTGTAGATGCTATAAAATTTAGCACTATTATATGCAAGTTTGATAAAAATAATCTTGGTTTTATTAAAAAACTTCATAATAACAGACTTAGAACTAAAGATATATTTACTGTACTTAATTCAGTGAGTTGCAATTATACTCACAAACCTGACATTTATAATGCTGTGAGTTGTTATTGTCAATATAAGCTCTGTGGTTTAAATAAAATTGAGATGCTCTTTAAAACTTTGTGTGATGATAAAAATATTGTAGAATATGCTGCATTAAAAGCAGCATATAATACTAAGTAAGATCAAGATAGTGAATTTGCCCAAGGGATTTTTTGGGCATATCACTATATATTTTCTGAATTTATTGTAGCAAAGAATGTTTTTATTATTAATATAACATATTAGATCAACAGATTTTCCATGCTATTAATAGTAACTTGTAGCATTAATAGGTTTAGATTTACATATTCATTAGCTTTTGTGCTTGTTTATTCTGAGACAATAGATTTTTATTGCTAAGTAATGCAGCAATTAAGTAAGACTTTAATTGAATTAACAGGTAATTTATTTTATTTAACACTCATTTTTTGTTTTATTTGCTTATTTTTTTTATTTTTCTTTAAATATTTTTTATTTTATTTCATTGTTTTTATTTTCTATCATAATATTAGGTAATACACAAGTAGCAACAATAATAACTGACTATAATTTAGCTCTCATAGTAGCAATTTCTAAAGAATTTCTTCATGCATGACATTAGTTATGTATGTGGCACATTTTCAAGAACATTCAAAGCAAGCTTATTAAGCATATTGATATTGAGGAGTTTATTAAGTTCATTCAAAAACTTACATATGACAATAATCTGGAAATTTATCAGAACGATCAAGAAATTGCAACATTATGAAAACAATTTCCAGAGGCAAAAATGTATATATTTGAAACTTGGATACCTTACAAAAATAGCTGGTTTGTATCATATACAAAATGCAATATAAATCTTAATATAAAATCAACTTAGTGCATAGAAAGTATGTATAATAAACTCAAGGGGGTTGAAAATTGGGTTACTCCTATTAACAAGTAAGTATTACATTAGCAAAAAATATAGATGCAAAATTTTGAAAGTTATTGTATGCAAAAAAATTGTAAAAGAATTGTGATTGATGCGACAGATTGCGAAATTTTAAAAATCGCAAAATAGCTCAAAAAATTTTAAAAAATTGTGAAAAATATTGCAAAATTTTTGCAAATATAAATATATTAAAAATACATATTTAAAATAAAAAATTCAAAAAATATTTCGCAATCTTTTACAATATTTCAAAAACTTTCTAATATTTCACAAAAAAATGCAAAATTGTAAAATTTTTCAAAATATTATAAAATATTGCAAAATTTTTCAAAATATTGCAAAATATTGTGAAATTTTTTGAAATATTGCAAAATATTGCGAAATATTCAAAATCGTGTAAAATTAATATATAAAATAAAATATATTGAATAATTTCAAAATTTTCAAATAATTTTAAAATATTTTTTGAAATTTAAACACACATATTAAAAATATTTACGATAGATTATAAAATTTGATCTAATTTATTTTTTCTAAATTTTTTAATAAATACAAATATTTCTAAATATTTTTAAAAATTAAAGTATATTTAATATAATAAAATATATTTAACTTTATTTAAAATATATATTTAATTAACAAATAAAAGCAAATTTATTGATTTATAAAATAAAAAAAAAAAGTAATATTATTCAAATATAATAAAAAAAACAAAAAAAAATTAAAAGGAAAACCGGAAGTGTCAGAAGCTGGCGCAAAGCAAAAAATCCTAGTATATTAGATACAATTGTTAAGATACTAAAAACCAAAAATATAATCCTCCAACTTTACAAAGTAAAGGCACATACATGCAATATTCTAAACGATCTAGCAGACAAGGTAGCAAAAAAAGGCTCCCAAGAAGAAGAAATAACACTCTTTGCTGCAAACAAGATACAGAAAATTACATTCAAACCAACCTGGAATATGCAAATAATTGATACTCCAATTCGAAGCTTTGTCAAAACAATCACATAAACATTTCACAAAGCAGACTGGCTATTCACTTCAAATCAAAAAGATAATATCCATCAAAGAAAAACTGACAACCAGAATTAGAAAATCTTCAAAAACCTGTAGAAAAAGGAGAAAAAAGAAAAAGCAAGATCACTCAAAGCAAATAAGAAATAGAGTTTCAGACTCAAGAGCCTAAGCAGACTTCTGCCTACATTGCAACTACGGAAAAGAAACCGTGAAGACCTATACTCAACAGCAATCTGCTAAAAATGCAAAAAGAAAGAAGAAGACTTCGAACACCTAACATCTTGTGAAGCTAACAAACAACGCTGGATAGAAAAGGAGTATTCGATAGCAAAAGAAGTCTGGTTGAACCTAAATGACTCTGCCAAAAAGAAAATCTCCCAAAACAGTATTTACTTGGTGTTCGTGGATGAAAGTATTAAAGACAGACACAAAAAAAGATACTATCTGGCAAGAGGACTAATCGAGACAGACCTATTAGCCTCCCTCATATCAACAGAAATCTCCAGAAAAGAGGTAGAACTAATAATACTCGAATGGTGAGACAAGTAGTACAACTTCTTTCAAGAAGAAATCTGGCTATATCGATGTGAAAAAACCATAAAATGGAAAAAAGAGCTGCAACTTAACCCCCCAAAAAAAAGGAAAAAAAGCACAGAACACTAGAGAGTACAAAAAGAACAGCTATACCTGATCTAGAAAATCTATATAGTGCTACCAAGAAGAGATCCCAAAAGAAACATGGAGATAGTAATGGAGGAGATAAATAAATGGATACGGACCAGAAAATGGTCGAGGTGGAACAAAAATTAGATTAGATCATGACAGGCTGTAGATCCAGGTCAATAAACTGCGATTTTCTTATCTGAGGTAAATAAGAGAAAAGCAGTGAGGCTAATTCTACTTCAGCAGGTCACACATAAGTACCAATTGGTAACTGGGTGAGCCACACTTTAGTTTAAAATAGCATAGCTATAAATAGATCTCATATTTATTACAAATGTAAATTCTATGATATAAAATAAAGTTGTGACATGATCGTCAAAAAAAAAAAAAAAAAAAAATTAAAAGGTTTACAGCTATTCTTAATCTTCTTTGAAGGTATATTCTTTTTCTTTTAGATTTTTTTGATTATTATCAGAAGTCTCTTCATTATCCTTTGGTTCTTGCTCATTAGAACTTACCTTAGTTAATTCTAGAATGTTTTGATTACTTTCAGAAATTTTGTAGCTTTCTTCAAGTTCTTCTAAATTTTTTTAAATATATTTAAATATATTTGAATATTCTAAAAATCTAGATTATCTTAATTAATATTATATAAATATTTAAAATTATTTACCTTCTCTTGGTTTTTTTCTCGCCTAAAATTTATTTAATATTAGATTTTTTTTTTTTTTTTTTTTTTTTTTATTCCTTAGACAGTTTTGTCAGAGCTCAAATACAAAATTATCTTATTACAGTAAGTGAAAAACTACTCTAATAAAAACTCTAATTTTAAAAT